AAATCCAAAGCACATACGCATATTTGTTTCAATAAAACATATTTTAATCCCTCATAGATTATATACACTCCTGCAGGTCCTTGATTCGCTATATAATCCTTGATAAAACATTAAACCTCTCTAACCGATCTTTGGAACACTAGTAGCGGATTTCTAGTATCATTCTAACAAAGGAAGTCCTCTTTATTACATTCTTTCATTCTTTTTTGTCCTTATTCTTTTTAACGAAGGGATACGACCCGAATGGTATTTTTTGTGTGACCCAGAATTCATTTCCTGGGGGAGTGGGATGATACAAAAATAAAATTCAAGTTATATTGAGATGTAGAGCACGAATCAGATAAGTTATTTTTTTATAATATGGTTTTATTGAGAAGGGTTTTAAGATGGAAGGGTTTCGGCGTAAAAAAGCATGTAACGTGGCCGGAGGAAATGAGTTTTTTCTATACGAGGATAGCACCGTAAAAATCTACCATAAAAAAAAAGTATAAATCATTTTAGTTTTAGGATATTTATATAGTATCATTTATTTATCACACATTCATAGCAAGGTCCAAAGGAATGTTTGTATATAATGCGGTCACGTCAAATGAAACTTAAATATGATATTTTGTTACAGTCTGTTTAGAAATGAGTTCATGGAAATACCAAAAGTCTTTAACCCGGAAGTTGTTTTTTCCAATCATTTTCCCAAAGAATCTGAAATAAGTTATAAGTGAATTATAAAACTGTTATAAAATAAATTTTTATGTAAAATAATCATTCGAGAGACGCTAAAATGGTGGTTCCCACCTTATCGAGACTGAGGCCCACAAGGGTAAACTCGTAGCGTAGCAAAAACGAGAAATGATTGGAACTTGGAACGAAAGAATGAAAGCCGATATCAGTATTAGGACGTTGAATTTTTTGTTTTGTGAAGCATTGGCATTACTTTGGTTCAACCATGTGATGATTTTCACAAGCCTTCTTTTTTAAAACCATTCTATATCGCCTTTTGATTAGGGTTTAAAAACTTGTTTGAGCAATTTATCCAATAATAATTGGCCCCTTTACCTCTTAAGCCTGCTCATGTAAAATATATGGGCTCCTTATTTCGCCTATTTATATTCTATTAATAAAGAACAGAAGGATGAGTATTGCAACTATATTAAAAGAAATAAATTGGCTTTCAGTTCAGAATTATGTTCAGTACATGACTGATATTTATTTATAAAATAAAAATGACATAGTACCATCGCATCAGATCTATTAGAAAAAATTTCAATATAATTCGCAATATCACAAATATAATACAAGAAGCCAATCTGACTTTCATGTATGGCAAGCCATCACTAAAAGTTAAAGGTTTAAAAAATTTAATAGACTGCCTACAGAAATTAAAAAAAAAACAATAATAAATGTATTCAAAAGTAATCTCAAAAAATACTTGATAAATAAACAGAACGGATATACTTTCTTGTGATAATACTCTTTAAACCTGCCCTTTTTAAGTATTTTCCTTAATTTATTGTTATTTTACCCCTCGTTTTACTACTTACTATGTTTAAATTATTAATAGTTTTGAGACGATTGGTTATAGCAACTTATAGCCACAAAACTATTTTTGTGTTAAAGTAAATCCATAGAGAGCAATGTAATTTACAAAGGCCTTCTTTTAACATACAAATAAATGACAACTTTATAATTAAAATGAAAGACACAACAAAATACCTCGGTATCATAATTGATCAAAATTTGAAATGGGTTGATCACATTACGTCATTAAAAGCCCAAGGTAAGAAGATTAATTTTTAAATTTTATGAATTGACGAAATTTATGACTAGGAGTTTACTAATTATTATTTACAATTCGCTGGTTGAATATGTAAACCAGCATTATATCCTACCTCTCTTTTATATAATAAAAAAGTGCTGTACCTTTATTTATAGAAAGCCTTAATTGAGATACACTACAAATTATTTACAATAAATATCAAAAGAAGCATACATTTTTAAATAATTTGATATTTAAGAGCCATTCACACATCACAGTTGACATCTTGATACTTGACAGGCACAGCCAAGCATTATTCTGATTTTTGCCAAATAAAATGGCTGGTTAATTATTCTATAGGGTTGCGACAGAGAGCCAGTAAATTTGATGAAGGTGTTTTTGTGGCTAGGGGTGAAATAGTAGTACGCTTAAGTTAGCACCACCATAAAAAAGTAATTTTTAAGAAACTGCTTATATATTTTTCATAAATTGGCAGGCTTGGCGACTAATTTCGAATAAAAATAGCCTCCAAAATGGCTATAGTTGCAAATATGAAGGTCGCAACCCGTCTTAGAAATTTCACCTTTACTATCAACAACTGTTGTTTGACAGGTCGTTAGAGAATGTTTGCAATTTATGGAATGTAAAGAATGTTAGGAATGTTGACGTTAGAATTCCTAAAATTGTCACATAAGAAATGCATAAGCGGATTTTAAGAAAATTGATATTAAAGTAGTTAGGATGAACCGAAAAGTCAATCAGAACTTTCGTTTTAGAGTTATTGTGCCGGCATACATACACACAGACGACCAGACGAAATTTTTTTTTGCATTTTCGGACTCAGAATGATCGGAAACATAAAAAAAGTTTTAAAAAATGGGGTAAGAAAATGTTTTCGTCTGCACGAATGCAATACTGAGGCTCCATAGGAAGGGCCTCAGTAATATTCGAGTTGTTCTTCAATATACTCTAAAGAGTTTAAAACTGTCAATTCTGTAATACGAAACTTCCTAAAAAATTAATACCTGACCAGAACAAGGTTGTAACCATCAAAATATTTATTTTACACTTATCATTTTCAGAACAACAAAGTTTTTGATGTACAACCTTGTTCTGGCCCATACAACTTTTGTAAGCTAAAATGATCCTTAATAATATGAATTTTAAGGCAAATTGCAGCAAGGATCGCACTATATTATTGCTTAGCACCAAAAATAATTTTGTATCATTACACAATGGTACAGTCTTATTTTAATCATAAAATAATTAATCATAATATAATTAATTGTTACATTCCATCCTCTTTAAAATATGTTGGCTATTCTTAGGTAAATACTTTCACATTATTGGGAATTTTACCTGACTGCTTTGAAAAGGTAAATTTTATCTATAAAAACAATAATGCTGTTATAAACAATATAACAATAAAAAGCCTTATTCACCAATCGCCAAATTTCTAGGGCCATTCATTCTTTCTATACAAACCTCAAAAGCTATAATCATAAAAACAAAATCCCCTTATTATCCCTTAAAGGGAAATAAGGTTTTATCCAAATTCGTTTTTAATAGTACAACTTTATAATCACAATCGGCTTATCCATTACTAATTGCATCTTAATGGCAGCCCCGAAAAAGATTCCGACCTTTCGTTATTGTTATTCAATAAACGAGAACTTTGAAATAATATAGGAAATTTTGTTTTGTTTGATTCGTAAAAGCGAGGTTGTTAAACCCCAAACCAGACACCATATAGTTTATACAAAATCTTTACGAATTTGCTCATTTCTATCAGGATTATTAAATGCAGGGGTTGTTCTTATATTACAAAACAATCGTGCTAAGTTGATACCCTTGTTTCGGACCCCTTCATGTTTTTAAGTGTAGAATGGGGATCAGTCAAGCTGAAATTACTGAGAATAGAAAATCGAGAATGATTTCTAAAAATTAAAGCATGCAAATTTTAGAAAAGAACTTCCAGCGGAACACTGATTTAACTTAGGTATTTTTTCTTTTACTATTAATAATTGACAAATGTGAATATAATATAAAAATTAAAAAGATCTATACTCTGTTTTTAAACTAAGAGGAGCGATTTGAATTTAAGTTGGCAATTCTGTAGCCTTCTGATTGGTCAGATTACAGTCAGTTTCACACATTACTTTTTAGCATGAACATCTGCCACCTTTTTCAAAGTATGTGACATCAGCTAATAATTAGGCATTCCAAACTGAATGACTACCAGTGGGTTTTGACAGGTTATGATGTGGCAAAGTTATGGCAACTCTGTAGGCCTGGTGATTTGACAAGGTGAGTGAAATAGATAGTTACATAGATTGATCATCCCTATTTTTTAAGTAAACATATAAGCAATTATTATTTTTTAAATATCTAAAGTCTGAAAATTGGTTTTAAAACACATTTTTGCTAAACTGATTCAAATTAATAAATATTTGCCAGGCAATATGGCTGCTCGCAAACGACCAGCTTTGAGCAATGTATATAACATATATGTATCATTGACCCTGTTGATGACAACATGACAACAGGGTTGCCATATCTAAACTGTCAGTACCCACTGGTAGCCATTTGGACAGGTCGTTGGAATGCCTAATTGATATTGTTGACAGTTCTGACATTTTATAATTTGATATCTCATCCATTACAGATTTTTACTTTATTTCGTAAATAATAGTTCTTCAGTAAGCAATTGTATTGAAAATCTACAATTGTGGATCCTTCTACACTGAGTACTATTAAAGGTAGCAATTCCTGAAAAGCCGTACAAGAAAGGGAAGACACATTATTTTACATGCTGATTCTAAGGGTTTTGTAGAAAATGCATTATTGGTTTTTGAAGGTAAAAAGTATTTTGGAAAAAAATAATTTTATTACTGATTTTTTAAAACTAAAAATTGATGAATTTCTAACCAAAATGATTAAAATGTAACTAAATATTCAAGCAAATTTTATTTATTAGAATAGAATAAAACTATTTACAAAATTGTTATAACATTTAAAACACCATCTACTACTTTAGGGATAATCTTAATTTGGCACAATGAGTTAACATTACTTTCACAAAAAATATTTTAAAAATACTTAAAATTAATACATAGGTATGTATGAATAGTTCACTTTAAAAAATATATGTTGACATGTAGTGTTATGAAAATGTTGGTTCCAGTTTTCAAAACAAATTCTGACTCATAGGCCTGTAAACTTTTGAATGCCTTTATTTATTCCATACCCATTGTGGACAATTAAACTTGACAGCTGTCATTGATTACAAATTACATGTAAAGATCCATTCAAACACAAAATGGCAGACGATGTAGAAACGCCAGCTACAGAAGCCCCAGAAGAGGCAAAACAAGGCGAAGAAGGTTTGACAACATCTAAACCAGTTGAAGAAAGTGTACCAACACTAAAACCAGCACAAGATCCGCTTAATACGGAATTTCTTTATTACAGTTCAGCGCTAAGGATTTTGGGACCGTTGGTAACTCAAGAAGCTGATAGGAAATTTATTATTCCATGGATTCGCAAACTTTTTAGGTATTATATCACTTTTTGATGCTAAACAGAATATACAATCCTAAATATTCCACTAAAGGCGTCAATCGGAAATGAGAAAGCAAACCTACTAGCGAGGAAGGGAGCTGAGAAAACTCTAATTGGAGCCAAATCCACGTGTTATATTTCACTTATATGTTAAACGGAACAGATAAATTAAAGTCCATCCAACTGCTTAATCTCAGGGTCATTTTCTACGAAACCCTGCAGCCTTAGAAGACACCTAACTCTCTTACTCTTACTAACTACATCTAAATCTCATAATTTCATAACTGTTTTCTTCTAGACCAGAATACCATAGCTCCAAACTCAAAGAAAAGAGGAACAGATACTTAGCTTATTTGTGTTGTTCCGTTCTATTGGACCAAGCTGTTGGCGTTTTTAAAAATTTTCCGCCAGATGGAGCTTTAGTGAATTGTAACGAGTTACCAACTCCTCCGGTACATACAGTTGAATGGGAATTGGATACTTATTGGCAGGACACAGTCTTTGGTAAGTTCCAATTACAAGAACGATTCGTGTAGTTGATTGCAAATATGTCCTTCATCAAAAATATAGTTAGGATGATCCTATGGGAGCAAATAAAAATATAACCAAATATTGAAGAAGCATTAATTCACTTTCCAGGTCTTCCAGATGATTTCCAAATGTTGGAATGCAGCGTTCACAATTCAGAAGCAGATTGTGCAAATGACCATCAGTTAGATAAGATTTTAGACCATGAATTCCAGTTTTATTTGTATTTAGCAAGACCGTATGCGTATTTAATAAAAAACGGCTCCGATAGAACGCGAGCAGCTACGTGGTTTCAAGTGTTGTGCTCCATTCACGGTCCAACGAGCTGCTCAAGCATGAAAGCCATTAGAAACGACTACATGATGGCGTTACTCGGTTACCTCCATGATTTGAGAGTGGTGGGACCGTTTGCAGAGTTACCAAGTTGGAAGACTTTACCATCTCTTGCTGAAGCTGCCAAGGCGGCTGCTGAAAACAATCCGATAACAGATCCAACAGGCGGAGAAGCTAATGAGTTTTTAATGAATCAGCCTTTTCCCGATGATGGTGCTTTTTGCTATATCGCTCTCACCGGAGATATGGTTGTCAAACATTTGAATCCTGATTAAAAATGTTGATTTGCTAAAACGTACCTAATAAATAACGTACCTGTATTGTCTATACTAGCTTTTAATTATTCAGTTAACGTTGTCCAGCTTTGGAAAGTAATTTCTTCTTGGCATCTGGAGATTTTAGATAAATTTTAGACGATTACTCATTTTTTGGTTCTCAAAATGTCAGACAATTAAACTTTATTTGATGTTGCGACATTTTTCTTTTTTAACTAGAGGGTAAATTATCTTAAGGTATTCCTAACAAGTTTACTATGTCCCATTAAATGTGATCTACCCTGTACATACTCAACCGGAGAGTTTTTTCACACATTCACGACCCTTTGTGCGTTGTACAAATGAAGTTTTTTTTTATATCAAAATAAAATATACAGCGACATAAAAGGCCTCAAATACCTGGAACTAATAAGAATAACATACATCTTGTTTTTAAGAAAAACACGTAAAGCTCGCGATGCCTACTACGAACAACAGGTAATTAAAAATATGTTCTTAAATTATTGTAATTTTCTCAGCAAAGTGTAACAAGTTTCGGTGGCAATGCCCTGATGATGCAGCTAGTCGGCACACATGTATGCGTCTAGCGCAGTGCAGTCGTGTACAAAATTATTATTTTTTTAAATAAATAACCGATTTTTTATCGTACATTAAAGTCTTTATTAAGCAATAATAACTTCAATTTAAATTGTAATTAAAAAAAATATATATTATTTATTTCTTTATTGCCAAGTAGAAAGTCGAATATTTCTAAATTCTAAATGATATTTTAATCAATTGAGAAAATAAAGCAACCATCATTAAAAAAAAGTAAGTACGGTTTTATAAAACTATAAAAATGTGATATTATAGTATATTTCATCAATGTGAGTGCATTGGACTAAAATCATTTCTTAGTATTGCAAAGTCCACTGACAAGAATTATCTCAAACTGGATAGAGGATCTAACACTCATGTACTGGAGAGTTACCTGAGTCAATAGATTCATTTGGGTCGCAATGAAAGTCGATCACCTTACTCATTTTTAACAGACTTCAAAAAATGCGTCGGAATATAGTTTTTTATGTATGTTCAGCGATAATTCTTTACTACATTGTCCAATTTCTATGATTCTTTTTTTGTTAGGAAAGGGATACATTAGGGGCACTTCCATATACAATTGATAAGGATCTGATGATCTATGTGAAAATGAAAACATTTTTATGATTCTTTTTTTGTTAGAAAGAGAGTACCTCAGAGTTTATCCCGTATTAATTTGGTCAATACCTAATAATAGAGTCCATAAGAAAATCATCAAACTCTGCATTTTTTTTAAATATTTTCAGCGATAATTCTTTACCATGTTGTTTGATTTATAGGATTTTATTGAAAGGGAATACCTCGGGGTTAGTTCCATCAAAAATCTCAATTTTTAAGGGCATTTGCACGATTTTAAAGGCTGTTTTTTTAAATTATTCTTATAACTTGTTCAGGATCATCATCTGAACATCGAAACTTTTATACCTACGCTACTGGATTAAACGCTTACGTATTATTTATATCGGTGAGTTCTTTTATTGTTTAATTAGTCGTAATTGTTATTTTCCTAGTTATGGAACTATTAATAGAGCATTTCTTTTCCTCGTTTCTAATTAACAATTAAGAAATACAGAGTGAAACAAAAAGATGAGGCCCAATTTAACATTGTAGGAATGGACTCAAATTTATGCTGCCTCTGCTTAAATGGAATGAAATGAAACGTGAGGTTGGTTATCGTCTGCAATAAACTGGACTTTACGTATATAGAAGGGACGTAAAATGGAACCCTGTGGTACGCCTGATTTAATAAAAATATGGAACTCATATTATTTATTTAAATGTTTGGCGAACGATTATTGAGATGCGATTTAATGGCATTATTTTTGTTATATCAAAAAAAACCTCTAGCTAATTTTCAATTTTTATACTGAATGTTTTTTTTTGCCAAATACTAATTCATATGTAGGTAATGGAATGTAGGTAATGGAACATGCTGGATTTCAAATGTCCCAGAACTACAGTTAATGTCTTGATATGGAAATCCCCAATTCAATAAATTTCCAAATGCCTTGCCCAAGACTCTTACAGGGGTGGTTCGGTTTCTAAAATTTACAATAATACTAAATAGATAATAATAAAAATAAATAACACAAATATTGCTTTTTCTATCTTCTGCTCTCCCTCAGGCGAAATGATACCACAATTGCTTGTCAGGCGATTCGGGAAATTTTAATTGGTCAGGCGAAATGGGAACAGGCGAATCGGGCATAAATCAAGTCAAATACAACTGTATTATGTGGGTAGGTACTTACCATTTCATAAAATTTTATTCACAATTAACACAAAATATAAAGCACTCCGTCGAATATTTATAAATATAACTTTGCGTCTTGGTTTTTGACCTTCACGTAGCCGAAGAAAATATTAACTATTTGGATTAAGACGCCTCCTACAGTTTTATTTAACTCGTGGTTCGTAGATGAGTCTTCAAGTCTGGACAGGAAAAATGGACAAGATCTAATAGGAAACTTACTCGTAGTACAATATTCGAGTCTAGACAGGAAAAACGTAGTTAGTAGAGTATTCAACTCTGGACAGGAAAAATCGACAAGATCTAATTTGAAACTTAACTCGTCGTTCGTACAGTATTCGAATCTGGACAAGAAAAATCGACAAGTTTATACTTTATACAGGTATTCATGGTATTGCATGTTACACACAGAATTAAATAACCTATTGATTTTATTATATTTAATAATTAACGCTAATTGAATAGCTATTTGATTTCAAAAATAGATATGTTATCTATCACATATTAGGCATTCCAGCAACCTGTCCAAATGGCTACCAGTGGGTACTGACAGTTTAGATATGGCAACCCTGTTGTCATTAACAGGGTCAATGATACATATATGTTATATACATTTCTCAAAGCTGGTCGTTTGCGAGCAGCCATATTGCCCAGCAAATATTTATTAATTTGAATCAGTTTAGCAAAAATGTGTTTTAAAACCAATTTTCAGACTTTAGATATTTAAAAAATAATAATTGCTTATATGTTTACTTCAAGGCATAAGCTTATGTTTATTTAAAAAAATAGGGATGATCAATCTATGTAACTATCTATTTCACTCACCTTGTCAAATCACCAGGCCTACAGAGTTGCCATAACTTTGCCACATCATAACCTGTCAAAACCCACTGGTAGTCATTCAGTTTGGAATGCCTAATAGGAATAGGTCATTATATCAACGAACATAAACTTCGATAACATTATGGATTATATTATCATGAATTGAGATAAAAACATTTTTGATTTCTTTAGTGTCTTAGTGCCTTGTTCATTGGAATCGTTAGAAAAATTAAAATTTCGTATTGTATACAGACCTCCGGTTTGGCGCCCCTTTAAAGGTGCTCCCGCGTGCGGTGCACGTGCAGTTGCAGGGGCCCTGTTTCCAAGCAAAAAGCATAACACACTCTGTATCCAAAAATATTTTTATATTGTTTTTCAAATCCATATAACTTTTATTAAAGAGTTATTTGCGTGTTAAATTCACAAACTTAATGTCAAAACCAAATTCTTAATGCACTAATTTAAGAACTTTTTCACATGCCTACGGCTTGTATACATTGATCGAAGCATACACTTTCAAAATGACGTTACAAAACGTCATGCGCAAGTGGGAAAGAACTATCATGACGTTAATGAACGTCATAGTAATTAAAATTTCTAGTTTATTTTATTAAATACAATAACTATTCAATTTCAACTATTTTCATTCTAGTATTCTTAACCTCTCTAAAACATTTTTTCCTGATACTATCAGCTAAATCTTGAGCTGTGGTATTATTTGGATCTTTCTGGATAGCCAATTCTATAGATTTCAATGCTTCCTCGAATCTTTCCAACTTTTGCAGAGCTTCAGCTTTTCGTATATTAGCCTTCAAGTTTTCTTTGTCTATTGTGAGGACCTGTAAGTAAATCGGTGTTAAATTTTCAAGTGTATTAAGTGGTACAGTTACATTTTGTTGTTTTTTTGTGGTTTTTATCAGATAGATTGATACTAAAATTACTTTTTTGAAATAGTCGCGCTCCTATAAATTGATGCTTTATGAATTAGGCTGTTGTATTTAAAGTTCTCAGTGAATATTCATAAAAACATCTAACTAAAAAAGTACCTTATTGCAATCCTTAAGAGCTTCTTCGTACTTTTTCAATTTAAGACACGTGACGGCTCTGTTATTCAGATTATTAATGGTAGGTTTACTCTGTATACTAGTTGTATAACAATGTAAAGCTTCTTGAAAATCGCCTGCTTTGAAAAATTCGTTTCCTTTTTCACGTTCTCGTTCCGAATTAAAAATTGCTTCCGCTTCTGTGGCGAATTTGTTAAAAGTGACCGACTTTTTGGGTTTATATTTCTCTTTACTTTCTTTTTCTTTCTTTTCTTTTTCTTCCAGTGCCGCTTTTATTTCCCTTTCTTCTTCTATGTCCATTTTTAACACTTCTGTATCTGGGTCATATTTGTCCCATGATTTGTAGTCTGGAAAAAATTGAACTGATTACTAAGGAATAAAAACATTTCTACGACGCGTGATGCTGTAGTTTTATAATATTAAAAAAGTAGTATTAGATAAGGTTCTATAAAAACTAAACAAACCTGTGGAAGCTATCCGTTTTTCATTATTTTTCTTCTTCTCCACGTCAGTTATTTCTTTCTTCTCGCATTGTCTTACTTCTACTTCGCAATATGGTTTTTTGGATTTCCTACCTTCTAGTTCTTTATCTCTTTTGCCAGCATTTGCAACGAAATTACGCATATCTTTAGAGATTTCATCGAAATCTTCTCGTTGCAAATCATTTTTTTGTAAAACAGCTGTCGATTTTCTTAGGTATCTACTTTTTGGTTTGACTATACGTAGACGGTCTTCTGTAGCTTGAGCTAGTTCTGAGGAAGAATGAAACAAAAAATGTAAAGAAGTGTATTAAAATAAAATAGATTGAAATATTAAAAAAAAAAAAAATCAATACATAAAGTTTTCATATATTTTACCCAAAAATTACATGTGTAATTTAATTTTTCTAAAATGAAATCTCAATAATTGAGCCCACCAATAGAATATTCTCCTAAATCAGTGGTCGCCAACCTGTCGATCGCGAGCTACCGGTAGCTCGCGGAGGAAATTCTGGTAGCTCTTACAACGATTTTAATTTAAAAAATACAAACTGCAAAAATCAGAGAAGCTTCCGAAAATTCCAACTGAAGCATCGTACCGTGTGTCCCAGATAATTGCACATAAAAAGAAACCTTATGAAGACGGGGAAATGATAAAACAGGCGTTTTTAGAAGCTGCTGATTCGTTATTTGCCAACTTTAGAAATAAAGACGAGATATTTCCAGCTATAAAATCTATGCAACTTTCTGCTAATACAGTGATGAGACGTGTATAAGTAATGAGCAATGATATTTTTTTACAGTTAAAAACTGACTTAGATAACTGTGTTTATTTTTCACTTCAACTGGATGAATCAACAGATGTCGTTGACACTGCCCAGATGGTGTTATGTCGTAAAGATGAAACTTTTCCGCAATTTCTCTGTTACCACTGCATTATCCATCAGCAAGCATTATGTGGAAATTTTCTGAAACTAAACAACGTTATGAAACTGGTGGTAAAAATTGTGAACAAGATTAGAGCTCAAGCGTTACAAAGAAGATTATTCAAAACCTTGGCCGATGAAGTTGACTGTCAATACGGGGACCTACTCCTTCACTCTGAAGTCCAATGGTTAAGTAGAGGACGGGTGCTGAAACGTTTTAATGATGTCCTATCTGGCATAGTTCAATTTTTCAAACAACGCGATGAACCGACTCCGGAACTAGAAAATTCAATCTGGCTTAGAAATTTTGGTTTTCTCGTGGACATTACAGAGAAATTAAACGAACTTAATTTGCAGCTTCAGGGGAGAGACAAAGAACTAGCGGAAATGATTTCTGATATAAAAGCATTTATCAAAAAGCTGGAGTTTTGGGAACAAACCCTAATTAACAGCGATGCAAAGCATTTTCCTATTCTTTCAGAAAAAATAACTCAAAATCCATTAGAACCCTATGACAGCAAATATCATGTAGAAATAGTTTCTACCCTGAAGAATAACTTCAAAAATCGTTTTAAGGATTTCAACGAAATGGCTTTAGTAGCACAGTTTGTTGTTTCACCCTTTATGGAAATTGATATCCAACAGTTTGCAACTTGTGTTATGCAGAACTTTGGCGAAGACATCGCTGCAACAGAAATGGAAGTAATTGAGTTTCAAAATGATTTAGCCTTAAAATCGTTAGTCTCAAGTACCAAATGTATCTGGCCTATTGTAAGTAAAGACAAATATTTAGTTCTATGCCGTGTTGCCTTGAAAGTGAAAGCATTATTCAGTTCAACCTATTTGTGTGAATCTTCTTTTTCCAATATGAAGTTTATTAAAAACAAATATCGCAATCGACTTACAGATGAACATTTGGATAATTGTATTCGAATGGCTGTATCAAATTATACTGCAAACATTAAAAAAATTATAGATGAGTCTGAGTGTCAGCCTTCTCATTGAACGTGCTTTTTTATTTTTCAGCGTTTGCCTTCCTAGATTTGTGATTTTTGATTTTTTTGTCATAGCTTTCAACTATAGCCTGTGGCATTTTTAGCCTGCCTATAACACTTGTTGCCCCTCTGGAAATATTTGAACAAAAACCGAAAAGACGTAAGTAATCAAAAATAAATAACTATTGTAGCAAAGGTATTATTTTTGTATGTTGCAGTTACCCCTAAAATTATTGCTGAATTATTCTAAAGCACCTTGTAGATAACCATACGAAAATTTAGACTTTAATTACAATTAAATAGGTACAGAAGATTAAAGGATTATATGATATTATAATTAACTAGTTTTTGTAAATCTTTTCATCTAACTATATTATGATTACCTGGATAATATCCTTCTTCGCCGGACTTCAAAATCTGCAAAATCTTTTCTAATTCTCTGCCATCGTGGCATTTTTCCACGTAGGCAAATTCAAAATGGTCGATGGGTATGTTGTATTTCGATATCAGAGATTCAGTTGGCTGAACATTTCTGGGGTCGCTATAATCTGATAGACCTCTTATTTCGTCTAGAACAGACATTTTGAAAAATAGCTCGTTGACAGTTTATAAATGTTTGCTCGATCATGTTGCCTCACTAAAGTGGTTACTATGGAATATATATTGATCAAACTTTGAGATTCCATGAGAAATTAACTTTTGTACACGAACCTTGAAGGAGTGTCACTCCATAATTTTGATGTACATTATGTAAACTCTTTCAGTATATATGTCATTGGTATATACACAAGTGAAAAATAGTAATTGTTGCAGCTACTACTAATTTTTGACTAAGTAGTTTTATAAAAATATTTATTTGAATTTTTAATTTAATAACTATGTATCAGATTTTTTTTATGAGATAGTGAACATACAAATTTTGAAGTCGATTAAATGAAAATATTTTCATTTACAAACAGACTTGGGTCTAATGAGTTTTAAAACAAAGTAGGAAAAGCTACATTTTCAAAATGTTCAAAACACTATGCTATAAAGTGTGATTCAGGTTAAGTATTAGTAATAATCTTTTTAAAAACCACTAGATAATATTTTATTATACAGTTCATCAAATTTCTAGAGGCTTTCGACGGCTAGACAGAGAAAGCACTACTGACAGGCATCCCGACGGATTTACGCAATGAAAGTACACTCTGCGCATCAAGTATTTCACTATTACATTCAGACATAAATGTCAGATGTAAATTTCGCTAAAACATTTCTTTTATTTTCGTTTGTGTTTTTTGCTCATTACAGTTTAATAGAACCTAAGTATGGAGTTTAATAGCAAATTAAGAGGCCGCGTGATTAACAGTCAATCTCGCGAAATAATAGCCAATGTTATAGAGTTTATGAGAAGAGAAGGAAACTTTAATTCACCTTCAATACCATTTAAAAATGTAAATGATCGTGTTGCTGCAGCCACAGGAGTATCTAAAAACACTGTCGTCCGCATTTCTGGAGAGAAAAAAAAGAATCGATAACCGTGAGATATCGGAATTTTCATCACCAAGAAAAACCATTAAAAAACCAAAAACAGTTAATGATATAGATGAAGCTGCACAAGAATCAAATTTTATTTTTTTATTATTAGATAGCTATTTTTGTTTCTGAGTTGTGTTCATTTACAGGCTCAATTTTTTTCCGTGTCTCCTTTTTGATTTTATATGGGGTTTCAAGTTGTTTTTGACTTATTTCGACGTAAATCACAACAACACACTTTTTTAATAAAGCAAACAAGTGTTAAGAGGTATATGTACGTGTAAACTACAATTACAAAAAATTGATATGAAACCCATGAAACCACCAACAAAAATGTAAAGCTAGCTTCCGTACTAGAACATGGTGTCATTCGTCGAGATAATTTATCGTTTTGTTTAATAGATCAAGAAATGTAAATATTCCTCTGTTATTTTTTATAAAATTATAAGAGAAATAAATTTTTTTCTAAATAGTATAGTTTATTATTTTGTAGAAAAACAAAATTTCGAAAATTTTAGTAATGTTTCAGAAACAACCGTTATTAATAATAGGTACCATTTTCCTTAATAAGGTAGAAATAAAATATAAACTATTTCCACGATTTACAAAGGCCTACAAAAAAATTATAGGTATTTTCCGCTATCCTATAAAATTTATATTTTCTGACTCAATTTCAAAAGGTTGAAGGAATTCCAAAACACCTTTTATGGCATAATAATTATTTTCAATTCTACATACTATCTTTAGCTGCTTTTAAAAACGTTCTAAGAAAGTCCAATCAGACCAATTTAATCCCTAAACCATTCCACACTTTTAAAATTTAATTACCTAAAAATATTAAAAACTATTTAAAATAACTTGTTTAGCAGACTGTACAATAGCTATCTTAGTCACACGTAGCGCGTTCTCTGTCTGGGCGTCGAACACCTCTAGAAATTTGATGAACTGTAATTTATAATATTTTCTAATACTAGGTAGTATAAGCCGAGTTTGTACTGGTTCTTATTTACCTGAGATGTTTTATCCACCTGATGCAATTCATGAAAAAAATGTTAACAATACCTTTGATAGTTGTTTGTACAATTCACTGATCTGTATTATTTTACAGTGGTACAATTATACAAGTTGACATTTTAATTATTTGAAGTATATTTGAAGCTTGTATGCTCGCTTGTATTTATTTCCAACAGTCATAAACTATAAACGTCGATTTAAATGATTACATATCAGTGACGTACCCAGGATTCATTGGTGTGGAGGGCAATATGGTAAAGGTCAAGTATAGCCCCCGCGCAGGAACCGCCGGTGGCTAACCGTCGCAGACCGAAAATTTTGCGTTTGCCACGCTCAATTTTTACTCAGGAGTCGTTAAAATCGTTAAAAAATCACGCCTTCATTACCCTCTTGTCAAAAGTCGTTAAGATCGCCAAAAAAAAACGCCTTTTTTTTCCAAAATTCTCCCTTCCGCTCGCTCCGGTCCTGAGCTCACCGAAACCCATTTTTTTTATTAATTTAAAAACTACACAAACAAAATAAATACATATAGCGAAACAGGCACAAGGGCTCAAGCAAAAAAATTAATTATTCTAAAGTAACAAAAACAAATAATTCTTGAAAAAACAAAAAAAGTCAAACATCAATATATTACCTACTAAAATTACTAAAAATACTTTAATTATAAAAAATAAAACTTATAATTTTTTCTTGGTTTTCTAGGGGGCAATTTTTGCAATTTTTCATGACAAAATAAAACAATTTTTCCTGGCTTTTCTAGGGGGGGGGCAATTGCCCCCTTTGCCCCCCTGAGTACGCCACTGTTACATATAAATATTTTGGCTAATTTTCCGGTATAATATTATCCTCTATACTTTGTTTATATTTGTGGGTATCTGAAATTTGAAAATCACAACAAATCAATATAAATCAATATATATGATTAAAAGTACCTACTTATTTCTATAATTACATCCAAGCTATTTTCATGGGTAACATATGGCAAAACGATCACATATTGGGGGCCTCTCAGCACTTGATGGTTGACACATAACTAATACGAAGATGAATACAAATACTGTTAACTTAACAATATAATATTTCATTGTTTTAAATAAGCTGGAGACGAATTTTGTTCCTTTTATAATTAAATTAAATTCAAACATTGTATATTGTTTGATATAAAAAAATAATTAATATTGATAATTTAATTTTTTTTATTGAAGGTGTAATAAAAATGTTTTTAATTTATTGAAATACCTACTTGTTAAAATGGAGTAACCTACATATAGGGTATACCAGAATTTCGTACCAATAGCGGTACTAAAATGTTTTAATGCGGTCTTTAATTTCTGAGGTTAAATCCCAAAAAGTTAATATTCGAAAATATTTTGTTCTACGCCCACATGGATATTATCTATTCTACGTACGGACTACAGAACAAAAAAGTAAGCTATGGCGTTCCACTGAACGGATAGAATTTCATATCCGTTCTAATAAGGACACTGTTCGAATATGAAATCCATCCAGAGCCTTTTCTTTTAAACACGATTGTCGTAAGATATACTAAGTAAATTTAAAAATGACAAACATACAAGTGCACATGCTATGGATAGCAACCAGTGGCAGCTTGTGACTAAAATATTTGGGATTCACAATGACAGAATATAGATCTCAGTACAGATGTAGGTAAAAAACTTTCATCGCTTTAGAATGGCATTCATAAGTATATTATATCAATAATGCAATTAATGAAAATCGTTCTTCTCATTGTACGTTACATCATACCTATATTCCAATCGTTTATTGGATAAATGATTTGAACAGTGGCGTAGAAGCGTTACATACATATACAATTTCATTTTATCTAATTTTGTTTCAATTAATTACATTAAAATGTAAAATGGCAGGAAAATTAGAAAAATAAAGAAACTTTTACCTTTCTCAGAGTAGAAAAGATTGGTTTCACCGGATGCAAAAGTGATAGTTTAAAAGGGAATATTTTGAGAAGCAATAAATAAATTTCCATAACTTAATTTGTTAAATTCTCGTATTCTTCATTTCAGACCGATATTCAAATTTCAGGACGATCTTCTTACATTTTAGGAACTTTTTTCTGTAATCCCCTTGAACTGCGCCACTGAACAGCAATATTACATACACAGTGCTGAAATGACCCCGACCCGGTTTGTCGTAAAGGGACCTTGTTATTGACACAAACAGAATCACAACCACATCATAGCGTAGTGTAGTGAACAGTCACTTGGCAAGTTATACTTGACCTAACCTAATGCAATCGACAAATTTTATTGCTTTTTTCTTTTTCGTTTTTTTATCTGCTTTTTACCGATTATACCTTTCCGTTAATGTAAGTGCATGTGATTTATTGGTCTAGTTAAATCAGTTGTTTTTTAATTTTGATGCCATTTTCAATGCCTTTATATTATTGAATTCCATTGTCCGTCTACAATTTTTTTATCGTTTTTTTAGTGCCTATTTATCTCGTATTGCAGCCAAATAAATTTTTGCGATGCCTATATAGGTAATGATGCTCCAACCAGAGGTACCTAATATCTTTGATGAGCCGAACATCAGAGGACTTGAGGCCTTCCACTTTCCAGATTTATGCCTCCTCGCAACAAAGGCTACATTATTTCACTATTACATAATATATTTTAATCAAAAGTCATAGGCATAGAATTCTAGTAGGTATCCAAGATAGACTCGCTTTCACACTGTCTAAGTTCTAAAAGTCTAATCAAAAATTATGTTTTATCCGCATCATAAATCAGACGAAAAAATGAGTAGGGTACAACACACAATGGCGTACTGTTTCGGAGGGTTCACCTATACTTTAAAAAAATTATTTAATATTCAAATCTTAATTTCCTATATAGCAGCAACAGTTTTGTTAAGTTTACAGTTCTGAATTATGATTTTGTTATTCTAGTATCAATGGGTTTGTTTTGATTCAAACAATTCTCAAATAGTTAAAGTTTAAATTTCCAATTAAATAATATTCAGAAATCGAATCAAAGCATTTGATTTGTTTATGTCTGTATAAATATTTTGAATACAGTAAGAGTAACATGAGAATGTCCTAAAAAGCTCCATTGTAACAAAATTGCATATTAAAAATAACAATATTAGGTACCTACTACTTTTACGTAAACATCATCAAACATATAACATTTTAATTTATATTATCAAGTTCCAATTCATTTGTTTACATGTTTTTGCTCCAAATTTCAGGCTCCAATAACCAATACTCTTTCATTTATTGGCACTTCCTTATATTAATCGTAACTATAATTACTTTACTAATCATCATCTGCAAGATAAATCAAGATAACCGTGATGGAATTTCATCAAAATAAAGTCTATCGTGAAAAAACTTACGGTGCAATGACCTCAACAAATGGATGTTTACACGAAAATAAGAAAATAAAACGACTATAAGATACGCAACCAGATCAAGCGGGCCATGGAAACAATAATCAAATTTTTTTAATACGAGAACAAAACAACAGGAACAAAGTTGTTTTTGAATTCTCGGAAGGAAAGCACCGGTTGATTTTTGGATGGACGATTAACCAATGATCATAACATGACTCACAGTATGGTTATTTTTATTTTTATCGCTGTTTATGGTAATGGCCAATCTTGAAAACAGGCTTATTGTTTGCTTAAATTTTAGAGCTTATTTTAAAGTGATGACGCACTCACAATAGTGATTACATCGCAAAGTCCGAATTATCAAAATGCGCCCGAAGTACTACGTACTTATAGACAGAGCGAGGAACAGCAAGCGTTGCCCCGTGAACGAGGATAGGTAAAAGGCAAAGAAACTGTCCAAAAATTGTTGACAGATCATTAAATACTAATAAAAAATGTTTTCAAAACAACAAACATATTCTGATGAAGTGGAAGGAGCCTGCCAAATCTCTCAAGACTCAAACAACAATAGACAAACAAGAACAGCCTTTACGAAACTGCTGGAATTTAGTGGTTAGTTTAGAATCATTGCAACTGAGACGTCAGACAATTTAATGTTGATTACTGACGTAGCTGACGAAGAAATATTAAGTTTCGTGATAGAAAATCTAAAGGAGTTAAATTTAAATATATTCAAATTTTAAAGACAAATATGGAAGGCAAGAATAAAGGAGTATCTAAAACAGAAAATTTTAAATCTCAATTCCTGAGCTTTTTATGTTCCTTGCACTTTTGGTAAACAATATGCTGCTCGATAAATGTTTGAAACAACAAAACTTTTTGGATACCTTTAAAACACACTGTAAAGGACTCAAACAATCAGTGACCAGCTGGTTAAGTAGGATAGATGCCCTAAGACTACTCAGACACTCTCTTGAAGACATGAGCAACGCTTTCGAATACTTTGGGATATATATCTGTTTCATGTAAAAAAAAATTAGAAAAAATTACAAATTTCCAATTCATGCGCTCATTGGTTGAGATAGTCTAAAGCACCAACACAGTAAATAGGATTTAAATGACCCAAAATAAAATTTGCCTAAGACCAAACAATATTTAAGTGGCCTCCTATATTTTTTAGGGAATCAAAGATAAGATAAAAAAGTTCAATAAATTTTTGGCTGAAATTAAGAAAATTACCAAATAGTATTGTAAGAAAAACGGAATTGCCTTTAATCCGAATTGGAAGAAAACGTAAGCAGTTGGAGATAAACAAACAGAACATTTTAACATCAATTTTTATTATTTGCTGGGGATTTGATGAACAATGTCAGTAAATAATTTTTATTTTTAAACTACCTATTTGACTTATAGCTTTTAATGGATAAGTTATTTATAAAATACTGCCGAGATTTAGAGCCAGTTTTTACAAATGGAGAAAGGAACTCATGAAAAAGAGATTATATATAAATAATAATTATTGAATATTTAATCAAACTATTTTAAACCACTGAAAAACGAAGCAGGATTTAAGCACCGAACATAATACTTTTATTAGGTATTTATAATTCCTCAGTAGTTGCTACACTTTTAGTACAAGATTTCAACGTGCGTTTTGCGTAATAAAGTCTTAACAAATGCGCACACACCTTTTACTTGTCAAATCGAGATATTATGTGTTCAGCCACAGTCTCGTTAGATAAAGAGATAATAAAAATGTGTAAAATGAGTTTAAGCAAGAAACAGGTGCAGCATTCAGTTCGGTTTCTTCATGATAGATTGGCATAGACGGAACTATATTAACTCAGATTTCAAAATTGCAAAAGGGCAAAGAGAATTTTAATTTATTTCCGTTTAAATCGTTGGTATTATAAAACACATACCAGGAAGAGACAGTATGATATATTTCGATCTATTGATATAAAAAAATCTACTCGGCATTGCTTATAATTTATTCTTTAAAAAATAGGTCCAACTCGTGCGCAAATAGTTATTTCGGTGTTTAAATTATATTATTACACACATTTTTTTAAATTTAAATGAAACATCATTAGATTAACACATTGGTTTATAATATTTGATTGCTGAATTTTACGTGACGACCCCTATACAGTGCTTTCCTCAGGGCCGACAAGAGGGGGTAGCCGGGACTAATTCCCTGGGTCTGGGCTCAAGTGGAGACCCGGCAACTTCTTGAGCAGTTCGACGGAGGATAATTTTTTACTTGAAGGCCTATTTTTTTGAAGAGGAAGAGAAGATTTTGTTGCAAGAACTTCTTTTTTAGAAAGGGCCTAATTTTTTATAAAATTGTCGCGGAGCCCGACCCGGAGAATTGTCCCGGGGTCCGACCTGGCTCTCGGCGGCCCTGGCTTTCCTCGCTCTATTAGAACGGTATAGAAACACAATAGTATTGATTAGAGAGAAATAGAATAATAAGCGGAAGTTTAACATGTTTCGAAAGTAAAAATAATTTTCCTTAAAATAATATTAAAAAATACTTACTAGATAAAAACAGTGTCCGTATCCTAATTATTATGTATCATAGTAATGTCATTTTTAAAATATTATGACAATGGTGTTCCTTTTCCAAGAATAAAAGGTGAAAAAATTACAAATTAAATTAAATGAAATTCACCAAGTGTGTATGGAATATATTAATTAATAAAATTAAAGGGCTTGTTATAAACACGTGATAAGCCTCAACTTTATAATAAAGGCATTTTTATTTCACG